GTCACAAATTGTCAATCAAGAAAGCCAAATACTAAACACATTGTAACATCATAGCTTGTTAGCAGTAATAGAGTTTTGAAGGCAGAGGAGATCCTTTCCCTCTGCTAATTCCACACTAAGTAAAAAGCCAAAGAAGCAATAGTTAACAGAAATGACAAAATTACTGAGGCTTCAAAATGTTTGCAGAGAGCTAATCACTTCAAAGTGCTACATGAAGAGGAATGGCAGGGGCAATAAAAGGTGTTTCCACTTGATAATGTGGTTGCTTACTGCTTTGAAGAAATGGTGAAAAATCAGTGTTTTTGTTAGGGCTGCTAGATGAATCAGCCTAGGAAGTCTAATGAGTCAAATGGTAGCTGTTACTGGCATTGGTTGATCCTGTTGTTCTGTAATGATGACACTGGAGTTTTTCACCTGTACAGCACCTTTCTTAAGTCTCTCTTACGGTGGCTTGAGAAGGTAAGAGAAGTAAATAATGTTTGTGTCAGCATTAAGCTTTGACTTCTTAGTGACTACGATGATGTTCCTGTATTGCTCCAAGTTGTGGAGAAATCAAAAGTCCTTCAGAAACTTCAGAATTTGCAGTGGATGTCAAAACTGTGCGTTGGGTGTAAATTTTGCAGGCAGGAATAAAAATCAAAGTTGCGCTTGGATCTAGTACAATTATTCATAGCTGTGTAAATGGCATAGTTAAAAAGTAGCACTTTCTTTGGGAAGAGTGAAAAAGTTTATCAGCCTAATTTGGCAGTCCCAGGGCAAAAGAATGGGAGAGACTCGGTATTTGTTTTGATTGTATGAATTGACCTAGTTTCAAGTTGCAAAAAGCTAGTAGTGTGAATACGGCTTTACAGCAGTGCTTAAATGCCTGGATGGCTACCGGCTTCATTTTATAAGGTCATTTAATCAGTGGTCCCTTATTGGGTTTCATTCTCTGTCTAAATTAAACCAGCTTAGGCAAGTTTATGTATACTCACAATCACCCTCTATTATTGAGGCAGTTTTGCTTAGATTTTTTTTTTTTCGGTCCGTTTCTCTGGAAGTAGTCTGGAGAACATTGAATTTTCTTTTGGAGGAGGCACATCAGATTCGGTTCAAGTGTTCATGTGAATTTTTCAGGTTCTGTCTTCCCCTAAAGTAGCAGAAAACCATTTTGCAGTAGGCAAATGAATAAAACCACTTACAGCAACTGTTCTTCAGACGAACTCCAGTTTCACATTTTTAAGTCTTCTGTTATTTTTTTCTAACAGAAAAGCTTTAAGACCAGGTGCTGGTTGGATACCAGTCCTTCTGTATTCAGGTGTGGACATAATATCCCTCTTGTGAGCTGCTGCTCTCACTGGATTCCTGTGTAAATTGGAAACTTCTGGAGCAAGCCTGGAGTTCTGTAGGAATGTTGGTCAGTTTTGGGAGGGAGGGAAAGGGACGGAGAGTCTGTGGGGTCCTTGCAGGACTTCTGGATGCTTCTTTTGCCACTGCTTTTATAAGTGCTGGTGTAGGTGTAAGTGTGATTTCTGTCTAATCAGGCTAATAGGTAGCATCTATGCCAATGCTTTATTTCAGTCTGTACAGATACTCAAATAGTAGTTTGCCAGGAGCTGGCAGTGAGTTACCAGTTTGTACAGTGTGGCCAGCAGACAGAATAGCAAGGTGTCAGGGTGCCCCTATGAGGTCAAGTGCACGTAAGGTGTCCTGTGGTGTTCAGTTGGCCTTGACAGACTTTGAACGTGGCAGTGTCAAAGAGCAAGTGTCACACACAACAGTGCAGGTGAGTAGGAAGCACAACTCTGGGCTGATTTCTGAGAGTCCCAAGTGTACCTGTGCATTCATAAAAAGCACCAGCAAGGTAATGAAAATAGAAACTGAAAATTGTTGAGCGTGATATGAATCATATATTTTTAGGGAATCCATAAATCCAATATTAATATCAAATATCTTTAAAAAGAAATAGGGAAATCTAATGACATGTAGTGTTAATGAATGTGCTTTCAACTCTTAAGTGCCTATTTTGGTTAGCAGATAGACATGCAAAATAGCAATGCTTCACTCCTGCAGTGGCTTCCTAAGCAGTCTAAGCTCACCTGGGGCAGTTAGGGCCTCGCCATTTGACTTTCTTGCAGTGTGTTGCTGAACTCAGTTGAGATAAAGACAGTTTAATAGGACAGAAAGGGAAGAGAATAATAATAACAGAGTATTCAAAACAAGTGATACACAGCACAATTTTTCACCACCCACAATGGATGCTCAGCTAGTTCCTGAGCGCCACCTCCTGGCCAACCCCACAGTTATGTACAGAGCATGACGACATATGGTACGGAATATCCCTTTGGTCAGTTTGGGGCAGCTGTCCTGGCCGTGTCCCCTCCCAGCTTCTTGGGCACCCCCTGCCTTCTGCTTGGCAGGGCTGTATGAGAAGCTGAAAAGTCCTTGACTGCTTGGCAACAACTGAAAACATCAGTGTGTTATCAACATTATTCTCATCCTAAATCCAAAACACAGCACTACCAGCTGCTGGGAAGAAAATTAACTCTATCCCTGCCAAAACCAGGACAGGGATTTCATCTCTATTTTTTCCATAGTGTGAAATGCAAGTGTGCAGTCTCTGAGCTATGAACTGGCAGGGAAGGAGGTATCTGCCTGGAGGAAATGAAAGGTAAGAGAGTTATTTTTACTTTTACCTCCTTTAATTGCAGATTAAAAGCTTGAACTTTATTGCTAGCCTGTTTGAAAATTACCTGTTGTAGATTCTTCCTTAAGTGAAAATACATCAGTGCACAAGGAAGGAGGCACATGGCCTGGCTGATTGCAACACAGGAGTATACCTGATCTAGGATAAATCTCTGTTTAAGACAATTTGATCAGGTCCTAGAAAAAGAATACTCATTTTCTTTCATACCAACTTTAGTTTAACCAAGTCAAATTAGTCTAGCAGCAGTTCTTCTTATTTTGATATATTTAGCAAACAGTGCAGACCATGAGGTCAAGCTTCATTATGATTTTAGTGTTTTATCAATTGACGCATGGATAAATGTTGAAATGGTACAACTCTATTTTACTGTTAGTAAAAAACACAGAGAATTTCTTTCGGTAAGAAAAGGTAGTCATGAGAAAGTGTAAGTGATTGTCCTGAGATAGTTAAATTTTCCTCCTAGCAGCTGGTATAGTGCTGTGTTTTGGATTTAGGATGAGAATAATGTTGATAACACACTGATGGTTTTAGTTGTTGCCAAGCAGTCAAGGACTTTTCAGCTTCTCATACTGCCCTTGCAATGAGTAGGCAGGGGGTGCCCAAGAAGCTGGGAGGGGACACGGCCAGGACAGCTGACCCCAACTGACCAAAGGGATATTCCATACCATGTGGTGTCATGTTCCGTGTAGAACTGGGGGGCTGGCCAGGAGATAGGGCAGCTTGGGAACTAGCTGAGCATCGGTTCTGGGTGGAGAGCAATTGTGCTGTGCATCCGCTGTTCACTTATTGTCATCATCATCTTCCTTTTCTGTCCTATTAATCTGTCTTTATCTCAACCCGTGAGTTTTACCTTTTTCTTTTTTTTTTTTTTTTTTGATTGTCTCCCCCATCCCCCTTTCGGGG